TCTAAGACCTGTGGGCGCCAGGCTACTAAGACCTAAGGCGACTAAGACCTAAGACTTCTAAGATTTGTGGGCGCCAGTGTGTGTGTGTGTGTGTGTGTGTGTGTGGGTGCGCGCGCGCGCGCGCTCACGTGTGTGTGCATAAGCGTATGTTAGGCGTGCGCGCGAGCGTGTGCACGAGCGTGTGCGTGTGCCTGTCTGCGTGCGCTGGTGCGTGCGCGCGAGCGTGTGCGTGCACCTGTCTGCGTGCGCGGGTGCGTGCGCGCGAGCGTGTGCGTGCACCTGTCTGCGTGCGCGGGTGCGTGCGCGCGAGCGTGTGCGTGTGCCTGTCTGCGTGCGCGGGTCCGTGCGCGTGAGCGTGTGCCTGTCTGCGTGCGCGGGTGCGTGCGCGCGAGCGTGTGTGTGTGCCTATCTGCGTGCGCGGGTGCGTGCGCGCGAGCGTGTGCCTGACTGCCTGTCTGCGTGCGCGGGTCCGTGCGCCTGTCTGCGTGCGCGGGTGCATGCGCGCGAGCGTGTGCGTGTGCCTGTCTGCGTGCGCGGGTCCGTGCGTGCACCTGTCTGCGTGCGCGGGTGCGTGCGCGCGAGCGTGTGCGTGTGCCAGTCTGCGTGCGCGGGTCCGTGCACGCAAGCGTGTGCGTGCACCTGTTTGCGTGCGCGGGTGCGTGCGCGGGTCCGTGCGCTTGTCCGTGTGCGTGTGCCTGTCTGCGTGCGCGCGAGCGTGTGCGTTTTCCTGTCTGCGTGCGCGGGTCCGTGCGCGCGAGTGTGTGCGTGTGCCTGTCTGCGTGTCTGCGTGCGCGGGTGCGTTCGCGCGAGCCTGTGCGTGTGACAGTCTGCGTGCGCGGGTGCGTGCGCCTGTCTGCGTGCGCGCGAGCTTGTGCGTGTTCCTGTCTGCGTGCGCGCGAGCTTGTGCGTGTTCCTGTCTGCGTGCGCGGGTGCGTGCGCGCGAGCGTGCAGGGGCGTGTCCAAGGGGTCCGGACCCCCCCCCTCTGCTCGCGCAGAAAACGCATCTAAGGGGGTCTAATTTCAAAAATTGTCCCCAGACCCCCCATTCGCGTGCTCGCAAATTTGGGTTACGGTTAGACCCCCCCCCCGTGGTACAAATCCTGTACACGCCCCTGGCGTGTGCGTGTGCCAGTCCGTGTGCACGGTGCGTGCGCGCGTGTTCTGCAAACACGTGTCTGGAGGGATTTTGTGGCATATTTTGGTGCCTTTCGGTAATTTAACGGACCGATCGTGTCACATGTCATTCAGATACCGGTAATATTTTCTATCCTACCCGCCGTGATATCTTTTCCATATATATATATATATTTGTTTATTTATATATACAGACATGACGACCAATATTTTTCGTTTGCTTTGCTTTCGTTCTGTTTTTTCCGTTTGTTAGCCTTAGAATATGCCTCTGCAACTCATTAGCAAGAGAGTAAAATTTGTTAGACTGGTGCTCGCTCCCACCTCTCGGCTTAGTTACTCGCTGGGGGTCAGCTTACCCATCGAGTAAACCAGAACTAAGCCAAGAAGAGGTGGGAGCGAGCACCAGTCTATTATTTGGTTAGCTGCATAATTCCTGTCACACCACTCACCAGTGACGTGACACCACCCAACAGTACACGTCATTTACCATGGCTGTGATTTCTTGCCGCTTACTGTTGATCTCTATATTTTTATGGCAATTTCTAGTTCACGCTCAAGAAACACCGAGTGAAAATGTGTATTCTGCTAGGGTAGAGGTGAGTTTAATCGGTTCTGTTCTGTTGACAGTAATTAACTGACAACAAAAGAGAAAGTCAATTAAATAGTTCAACACTCACTGTGACTCAGTCGCAGACAGTCGCAATGACCAATGACCAATGACAGTGATTCAATAAGTTCGCCACGTAGTTGTGACTCGTAGTCGTAGTGAGAAGC